AACTGCTAGGTGTATCAGTCTTGTCTCATGAGTCCATGTAAAAATCTGACACCAACCAGCCCCCCCTCCCCACCACAATCCTCAATTCAACTGAGTTTGATAATTCAGTGCAGTGACCACACAGAACTCAGACACCATACTTGCAGTTTAGGGATTTATTAAGGAAATGAACAGGTTACAATTCAGGGTCAGAAATGTTCAGAGCACAGTTCTTCCAGTTAGGGAAGCCTCTCTTCTGCTGTGCGTAAGGACAGGCAAGGTTACAAAGCTCTTTTAGGGCTGCTGATAAATGCCCACAGAACACACCACTCTACTGCAAGCCTCAGCCTGAATGCACTCGACTTGAGATCCAGTTAGCTTAGCTCCCTCAGTTAAGTACCTGGAGGTACCCCATGCTGTAAGGAAGTCTCCTGCCCAAAGTCACTCTGCTTGACTTGTTCTGTGGGCTGGGTCAAGGAGGTTCTGTCCCTGGGTCAAGGAGGTTCAATGCGCCCAGATCTCAGGGTCCATAGAATGCGTTCCACCCCTGGTTTGTTTTCTTTGATGGTAGATATTCCCCGTCTGATTCTGAGACAGCTCATTTTATACCCATGCTAGAGTTCTGAGTTTTCACAATCAAGCCTGTTAACAGTCACTCGCATCCTCATCCTCTGCTACCTTCTCCTACCCAGACCCATCACAGCAAAGTCGTCTGATGGAAGTTTACCAAGACGAGGGCAACCCCGCAGGCCACTCTTGTTGGGGTGAGGGGCCTCATGATACCCATTACACAGCCGGTGCTTCCTTCTGACACTGTGAGCACAGGAACCCACCTCCCCTGCCCGGGTAATGACAGGGACAGGAACTTGCTGTGAGTCTGCTCCCCCTGTCCCCTCTCCCTTACTCCCTGCAAAGATCGTCTGGAAGATCCTGCTATCTGAGAAGTTCTGTTTACTGCTTCTTGTTGTGAAGTGCCGTCGAGTAGCTTTTGACCCATAGTGACCCTGTATAGGGTTTCCGAGGAGCGACTGGTGACTTTGAACCGCTGACCTTACAGTTCAAACGGCTTTGCAGTCTGGAGCATGAACCCACAGTGCCACACCAGGACTCCGTTTATTCCTTGGGAACCACCAAAAGACTCCGAAGCAGTAAACATCCCTCAGTATGCTGCAACATGGTTCTCTGTGGTTTTGGCTGGCTTCACACACAGCTTCTACAAAACACATGCACGCAGGCTCTGCAGCCTTGCATCTGGATGGAGTTCGTTACCAGACTGCATTTTCAAATCTAATAATAATTGAAAACAAAACAAAACCGGCATCCTTCCAGCTGGCCAACCATGGTAGGAGAGCTGTCTGGACAGGTGTCCTGGTGGTCCTTACCTCCAGGGTGGGCTCCTTGGGGTGGCATGGGTGTCCCTAAAGGTGACAGCTCATACCAGCATATCCCTTCCTGCTCTAGCAGGGAAGGTGAGCTGGGAGAGCAGGGGGTGGGGTGGGGTGGGGGGTGGTCAGTGTGTGGATCAGAGCGGTGACAGATCCACTCTGGACAATGGTACAGTGATTATGGATTCACCTTCCCATTGAGGGTGAGCAAGGACACTAAGAAGATGTAGAGGAACCCCTCTTTTCAATGCCTGTCCTAGACTTAACCTTGGAACTTGCCCAAGATTCACTGGGTTCTGAGATCAGATGGGCCGAATCCAAGCCTGGCTCTGCCATGTACCAGCTGTGTAGCCTTTGGTGAGTGACTTTACCTCTCTGTGCCTCATTTCATTATCTGTAAAATGGGGATAAACGTAGCTCAAACCAAACCCTCTGTCATTGAACTGATTGCAACTCACAGAGACCCTATAGGACACGGTAGAACTGCCCCCAAGGGTATAATTTATATGGGAGCCAACCGTCATGTCTTACTCCCTCGGAGCAGCTGGTCAGATCGAACCACGAGCCTTTCAGATGCTGTTGTGGGCCACTGAGTCGTTTCCAACTCACAGAGACCCTATATAAGGTTTCTGAGGCTATAAATCTTTGCAGGCACAGAAATCCTCATCTTTCTCCCATGCAGTAACTGGTGGGTTCCAACTGGTGACCTTGAGGTTAGCAGCCCAACAGGTCACCCACGAAGCCAATTACCATCAAGTCAATTGTAACTCAAATCCACCCTGTGAGTGTCAGAGTAGAACTGGGCTCTGCAGGGTTTCATGGCTGTGACCTTTCGGAAGCAGATCGCCAGACCTTTCTTCCGAGTGCCTCTGGGTGGTTGAAAACACCAATCTTCAGGTTAGTAGAAGAGAGCTTAACCATTTGTTTCACCAGGGACTCCAGCTCCTAATCATGGTTTATTGCACTGATTGCCAAACACAAGACAATAGTCTTTATCTTAATTAATATTCATGTGGAATATAACATCTAATTAGGAAGTTATCCCTAGCAAGATTGCTATTACTAGACTCTTGGTCTTTGAAGTGAAATTATTAGCAGCCCTGTGTGGAATCCTGGGCTCGCAAAAAATGAGCTGGGCCCAACCTTGCCCTCAGACACTTCCAATCTTGAGAGACACTTCTACATACATTGGGTGCTTTGGGAAACCTAGAGGCTTTGTGAGCCCAGAGGAGGGTTTGAGCTGCCTGGAGGAGGAGATAATGAGCTGGCCGTGGGGGCAGCTGGAGGCTAGCTGGCTGTACAGGAGACAGGGGGTTCCAGGCAGAGTTGCTGCTGTACAAAGGCCTGGAGACTAAGAACCATCGAATTAGAGGCTGTTGGCTCCCCTCTTCTTAGGTCCTGGGGGCCTAAGGTATATTGCATGGTGGTTAGGGATATGTATGTGCACTAGATGGGATTTTAATAAAACAAAATAAACCCACTGCCTTCAAGTCCTTTCCAACTGATACGGTAAAAGTGCCCCATAGGGTTTCTGAGGCAGTAAATCTTTACCAAAGAAGAATCTTCCATAGGTCAGTCTCAGTTTCTCCATCTGTGAAATGGGATGATGAGGGTGGCACTATTTCTGTGACTGCCAGGGGTCAGCCAGGTGACCAGGTGTAGAGTCATTAGATGAGTAAGTGTCCACTGCTGCCTTACTTACATTACTATTACTTCCGTTACTATTAGTCTTCGGCCCCAGTGGCCCCAGACCCCACCCCCAACCAGCGTCCTGAAGCAGGACCACATCTGCCGACAGCTGCCCTTACCTCCCACTCAGTCGGCTCCTTCCTTCAGCCCCCGCAGCTGCTGCCATGGGAACTGCTGAGGAAAAGCCTGGTGCTGGGAAGGGGGGCTCTAAGGAAGGGTGGAGAGAGGATGCCAGCGGTGGGGATAGCTGATGGCTGGGGAAGGGGCTGGACCTCTTTCTCTGCTGGTCACCATCTGTTCCAGGACCCCCTGGTCCCGTATCCTAGCAGGTGTCCACATCCAAATGCCTCTGGACTAAGCCAGTGGACCCTTCAAGGAAGACTACTCAGGGGAAGGAACTTGGCTGTCAGTCAGTCACATCTTAGTATGAACAAGTCCAGGAACACACAAGCTTCCTGGAGATGGGAGCTGTGGCGTCTGGCGCCCCTGAGAGGAAGGGTCACAAGAGAAGCAAGGGGGTGTGAAAATGCTGGGTCGGGAAATGAGCTGAGTACCGGATCTGTGCTGACTCCTTGCTGAGTGCTCAGGGCATGCAGAGGCCTCCCCCTTGAAGGCACCAGGCACCCAAACCAAGACTTCAGGTCAAAAGGCGCTTTGTCAGGTGAGGGGTGGGGTGATGTTTGGGGTGAAGGGCCATTCCAACACAGCATGTGGTCTGGCCATCAGACCTGGACACCCAGCTCAGTCCTGACCCAATCTGGCCAGTGGCTGAGGGGGATGGAGAAAGGGGAGCAGAGCCCACTCCTTGCTGAGGATGAAGCTAGGGTAGGAGGACTCAGAACCTGGAAGCACAGGGCTGGGCTGGCTCTCCTGGTCATTTCATGCAGTTCAGAGAGGACCAGCGATCCTCCCAGGTCACACAGCAGAGCAGAGGAGGGACAAGAGGAACCAAGGCCAAGTCACCCCAACTTCAAACCCAGGAGGACAGAGGATGGAGAAGTGCTGGCCAGTGGTTCCTCTGGGGCAGTGTGTGTTTGCTCTGCTACCCACCAGCACCCGCAGCAGGGAGCAGGCGGGGCGGTGGTTAGTGATTGATCGATTGGACTCTGGTGAGCACTGTGGAGAGATCCAAGCCGCCCATCCTAGGTGGGCCACTGAGAGCCAGGGGCCAGAGCAGAGACCTCTCCTCACTGTGTTGGAGGGTCAGGGTGCCCAGAGAGGAGAAATTAGCAAAGGAAAAGGGCTGTTCCCTGGAGGCAGCCTGTGCACAGACCCAGAGCAGGAGCCAGCGGGGTTGATCACGGGGCTGGGGCGGGTCTGGGGAAATGCACGGGCTCCTGAGAGACATATAGAGGGATGGAAGGGAGCTGGTTTGGGAGGGGACATGTGAGGTGGGTGGCCCAGCATGGGCGCAGAGGGTCAGGGACTTATGGTTCCTGCCCTTGGAAGGTTTGCAGGGCACCCTCCCAGGTCCTGTGAGGTGAGGGTTCAGAGAAGCTGTTAGAAGGGGTGTTGGGGAGGGGATGGATCTAAAGCATCCCCGGTGGGACCCACTGTGGGATCAAACAGGGGACGCCCATGTGATATAGCTGACCAGTCCAGGAACACCTCGATGAATGCAGGAAAGTGGATGTGGGGGGCCACACCATGGGAACCCCCCAAATGCCTAACTGGGAATTATTTCCAAAGCATCAAACTGTACGCAAACCCCACAATCCGGAGGTCTTGGGACCCTGGTGGAGATGATCAGATTGTCTGGAGCCAGGCAGGTGGATTCTGGATTCTGGATTCTGGAAGGAGACACCTGGGGCAGGTGGAGGAAGTGGAGGGTGTGAGTGAGGAGTGGGTCAGTCAAGATGGAGCCAGGAGGAACCCCACAACACCCCCACCCCCTGCTGTGCTTTCTGGTCTGGTAAACTCAGTCCCTCACTTTTCGTTTCTCTGCAGCAACTACACCGCCCTGCTGGGAGTGTGGATTTACGGCTTCTTCGTGTTGATGCTGCTGCTTTTGGATCTTTTGTATTACTCAGCTATGAACTACGACATTTGCAAGGTTTACCTGGCGCGGTGGGGTATCCACGGACGCTGGATGAAACAGGACCCCCAGCGGTGGGGGAATCCCGCCCGGGCCCCTCGGCCAGGTCAGCCGGCCACTCAGCCCCAGCCTCCTCCAGACCCCTTGCCGCAGGCCCCCCAGGCTGTGCACACGCTGCGGGAAGACCACCACAGCCCACAGCTAATGACCTTCCAGAGCTCGTCTGCCTGGTAAGTGGTTGCCACCAAGGCTCAGGCTACTTTGGGTGCCTCGTCTCTGGTTAGCTTGGAAAATACCGGATGGTTGTGGCTGCTGTGTTTGTCTGACTAATTCTTTGCTTATCTCATGGTTTGCCAAGAAGGATTTGAAACAGCATATGTTTGGACAGAAAGTCAGAATGAGAGGTGGAATCAGAGCTTAGAAGCAAGGCTTGCAAGTCTAGTTACAGTAAGGGTTACTGTCTTTAAAGCATTGTGAGTTTCCTGGCTGCCAAGGCAAAAAGGGAAATTAGATGGCTTTCCAGATTTTTTTGGCCTGGTCGAGGTAACACATCAGTCTGCTTGAGGTGGGAGATTTTTTTCAAACCTTAGACTGGACAATAAACATACAGCTTGATTCCTTACATGCATGTACATTGCGCCACATAGGAGGATTTGGGGTGACAGTCAGTGATGGCTCAAGAAAAGGGAAGGAAGCCAGTGGGGAGGACTGGCCTTGTGGGGTGGCTACCCCAGCAGAGCATGCTGGTCTTGTTCAACGGGTGTGTTCAGACCTGATTTTATCTATTTGTTGTTGTTGTTGTTGTTGTTAAATGTCATTGAGTTGGTTCTGACGCATATATAGCGACCCTGCATAGGGTTTCAAAGGAAGATCTGGTAAGCTTAAACCACCAACCTTGCAGTCCAGGATATTAATTCAAATCACCACACCAGGACTCCTCACTTTATCTATCATGACTCCCAACTACTCAGCCCCAGCCTGGTGGGTTAGGTGTGGCACGACCCTGGCAGTGTAGCATCCAGCTTTTGAGGAAGTGAGGAGGAGTCTGCATGTGTTGAAGTAGAAAACTCTGTGAAACTGGTCATCACCAAGGACAGGGAGCTAGCTGTCCAAGGGACAGAGGACTGGCAGGGGTCCGGCAGATAGCTAGGTCAGATGGCAAGTGTGTGTTGGAGACGCTGCAGTCCCGAGCACATGTGGGTTCAGGACACCCAGTTCAGACTCAGAATTCACCCGCTGGTAGGATTTGGAGTTGGAAGCCGGGACCCCATTGGGTCTGAAATGGAGCGTTTCAGGCAGCTCCTGGCCTGAGTTCCAGTCTTGCCAACATGTCAGATGGTGACGTTGGGTGAGTTACTGCAGCCCCGTTCCTGCCCTTTCCTATGACGATATCGAGAGTGAGGTGCCTCCCCTATGGCTGGCCTAAAAGATTTGGTTAAGTACTGACATGTACTAGGTAGGAGCTGTGGTAACAAAGTGGTTATGAACTGGGCTGATAAACTCAAGGTCAGCAGTTTAAAACTACCAGACATTTAGCAGGAGAAAGATGAGGCTTTCTGCTCCCATAAAGATTTACAGCCTCGGAAACCCTATGCAGGGTTGCTATGAGTCAGAACCAACTCCACGGCACTCTCTACCCCCACCATGTACTAGGTGCTCAGCTAACCTTTGCATCTCCCTTGCTGAAGATGCAGCAAAGCTAATGATCACTGAAAGAGTGAACAGTTAGTGGCCTGTTCAATAATAAATGGTATATAAATAATAAGATTTACTTAAATCAGCGTGTGCTTATTGATCGGGTAATTGCCCATCTGTCATACAGAAGATGCAGTCTGTGACAAATGCCGGCTGAGTGGTTCCAGAGGTGGGCCCTGGGCCAGCTCTCCAGCTTTGGAGGTCATGGGTGGGGGAGAGGCCTGGACACCCCATCCCCTCCGCCCCCACCCCCAGGAGTCCATAGAACGGGCCGAATGAAGGGCTCACAGGATGTTGCAGACCAGGGAATGTCTGTAGGGCAGGGTGCCCTGGAACTCGGGTCCCTGTCATCAGGCACATCTAGGCAGTTTGTCTCAATGAACATACTTGTGGATCCGGCTGAAGCCACTGACTGGGATCTCCATGGTTAGCCTTGTGAACCCTGCAGTTTGAGAATAGTCCATATGAGTAACCGTGTGGTTTTGATAGCTCAGAATCTACAAAAGGAGTCCTTGGTGGCGTCGGGCTGCTTAGCCGCAAGTTCAGCAGTTTGAACACAAAAGTTGCTCCCAGGGAGAAAGATGAGACTATTTGCTGTCCTAAAGATGAACAGTTTCAGAAACCCTAAGAAACAGTTCTACTCTGGCCTGGAGGTGGTTGTTGGTAAGTGCTGTCGAGTCGGTTCCGACCCATAGCAACCCTGTCTAGGGTTTCCGAGGAGCAGCTGGTGAGCTTGAACCGCTGACCCTTGCAGTTCAAATGGCTTTGAAGTCTGATGTATTAACTAACCCACAGCGCCGCACCAAGCCTATAGGTTAGGATTGATCGAAATGGTGTTCATCTGTCTCCACAATCTCTGTCTCTCTTTTGTCCTTTCTGTGGCTATCTTTCTCTGTCCCTCTCTGTCTCTGTCTGTATCTCACTGTCTCTCTCTCGCTTCTCTGCCTTTTTATCTGTGTCTCTCTTTATCTGATTCATTCTCATCTGTCTCTTTGCTCCTCTCTGACTTAGCCTCTTCTTTCTCATCTCTTTCTCTTTCTCTCTCTCTCTCACGTGATGTCAGTCTCTCCTCACTTGTCTGTCCTCACACTGGTCCATCAGAGCTCCCTGGGGTTGGGGACAGCAGGCCCTATCGCTGCACCTCTGAGTCCTTGTGTTTGGGGTTCATGGCTCTCCACATCACTGCTGCATTCTGCTTCCTGTCTGTCTTCCTGTGTGCTGACTCAGGAAGGCGCTCCCATAACCACCCAAGTGTTCATTCAAAACCAGCCATCAGAAACCTATACCTACCCTTCATATGACACCTCCGGGTCTGATTGATCTGTCCTCTGACAGGCCGGCTGACACTGAGTCAGGACCTTCCTCCCTGGGCTTCAAGTTTGCCCATTAAAGAGCTGAGGGGTAAGGCTTGGAGAGCAGGGAGGACCCTCCCTTCTCTGCCATTCTAGGGAAAGACTCGAGGAGCTATGTGGCACAGGATGCCTCCGTTTACACAGTCTAGGTGAGTAGAGACATCTGGTTCAGAGGGTCAACTTGGACTCAATTCAGATAGTATCTGCCAACTGTCTGTGTTGGAGTTGCCTTCCCCGGGAGAGAACACAGCAAGTAGACACTGCTCAGTCCCCTTCCTGAGCCTGAATCCAGCTTGCCAGAGGGCATTTATGGGACCAAGGTGCCACACTGATCTAGTTGGGTTATTGGGCCATGGAGGGGCTGTGAATCTAGTAGGCTTACAGTCAGAAGTCCAGGCAACTGGAAGATCCCTTCACTCTGAGTCTCCACGTGAATGCGTGTGATTCTAGAAACATCTATTGAGCACTTCCTGTATTCCAGACATTGTCTTGGGACTGATTTCTCACCACGACCCCATGAGCTAGGCTTCATTCTTATCCTTCTTTGTTGTTGGTACCGACTCATAGCGACCTTACGCACAACAGAACGTAACCCTGCGTCAACCTCACAGCCCATTGCTACTACCACCATGACAATCCATCTCATTGGGGGTCTCCCTCTTTTTCACTGACACCCCCCCCCTTTACCAAGCATGATGTCCTTCTCCAGGGACTGGTCCCTCCTGATAATATGTCCCAAGTGTGAGAGATGAAGTCTGGCCATCCTGACTTATAAGGAGCATTCTGGCTGCACTTCTTCCAACACAGATTGGTTTGTTCTAGTAGTTCATGGTACTTTTCCTATTCTTCTCCAATACTCAAACGCATCAATTCTTCCACGGTCTTCTTTATTCACTGCCCAGCTTTTGCATGCATATGAGTTTATTGAAAATATCGTGGCTTGCGTCAAGCGTACCTTAGTCCTCAAACTGACATCTTTGCTCTTGAACATTTTAAAGAGGTTTTGTGCAGCAGATTATCCTAATGCAAATACATCATTTGATTTCTTGACTGCTGCTTCCATGAGTGTTGATGGCAGAGCCAAGCAAAATGAAGTCGTTGACAACTTCAATCTCTTCTCTATTTATATGGATGCTGTTTATTGGTCTAGTGGTGAGGATTTTTGTTTTCTTTATATTGAAGTGTAACCCATACAGAAGGCTGTGGTCTTTGATCTTCATCAGTAAGTATTTTAAGTCTTCTTCTATTTCAGTCAGCAAGGTTGTATCATCTGCATATCGCAGGTTGTTAATGAGTCTTTCTCCAATCCTGATGCCATGTTCTTCTTCATATTATTCAACTTCTCAGAATATTTACTCAGCATGCAGACTGAATAAACATGGTGAAAGAATACAACCGTGGTGCTTACCTCTCCTGATCTTAAACCATTCTGTGTTCCCTTGTTCGGTTCTGTATCACCCGCCCCTGATGTAGTCGGAGTCCTGGTGTGGCAATGTGGGTTAATGTGCCAGACTGCAAAGCTGTTTGAACTGCAAAGTTGGCAGTTCAAACTTACCAGCTGCTCCTTGGAAACCCTATACAGGGTCGGTCACTATGGGTCGGAACAGCACTTAACAACAACAACAACAATTGATGTAGTCAATTTTCAAAGACCTACTCAGAGCATTACCTTTGCTAAAGGTAATACAGAAATAGCTACAGTCATACATTGACAGAGAACTTCCAGAGGTTCAAGCTGGATTCAGAAGAGGCCATGGAATGAGGGATATCATTGTTGATGTCTGATGTATCTTGGCTGAAAGCAGAGAATATCAGAAAGATGTTTACCTGTGCTTTATTAACTATGCAAAGGTTTTCGATTGTGAGGATCATGACAAGCCATGGACAGCATTGTGAAGTATGAGTATTCCAGAACACTTAATTGTACTTCTGAGAAATCTG